TAAAATTCTATCACCTGAATAATACGTATAGCAATGTTTAAATAAATTAAAATGATAATATGTAGTCTTTCATTTATTACCTAACCGATATATCCCACCCTGTGCTTGTACAAGTGTATGCAACGTGGTGATCTACCCTACATCATAGCTTGCTTTTTGCTGATCCACTAATCGAATCAATTTAATCATCTAGCTCACAAGGGTTGGAGTAGAAATGTTTTTGCTTACAACACTTGCCACTACAAAAAGCGACAACATTATCATTTTAATGGATCCCCTCCCTTTAGGATAATCTGAAATATCATATAATATAAAAAAATTGCATAATGTATTTAATATTACAATAACATTTGTGGCAACATAACCTTCCTCTTAGCAGAAAAAAGATAAAACGATGTTTGAAACGATAAGTTAAATTCTTTTTTCTTAGATATTGTTTTATGGTAATTACTATAGAATACAAGTTTTTTCATTAACAATTCTAAGTCTAAAATCAGTTTGAAGTATTTAATCGCAATAACTTCTCTAAGATTTGTGATTGAGAATTGAAAGCACAATAATGTTTACATAAGCTCAACTTTCCTTAAGGGCAATGTTCACGATTATGCTAGAAATCGGTTCGAGAGACTCGGAGGAAAAAAGAATTGACCAATCGCACGTTCATGTGACCAAATTGTTCAAATGTGATTTGTAAATTTTTTCTCTGTCCGCGATCGATTTCTAGCATAATAGACATTGGGCTTTAGCATATTAAACTTAACCTAAAATCATTGACGGTGCGCAAGTGTGACGATACAGAAAACGGGATTTTTTCTTGTCATCATGAACAAGATACGTTGTCTCGAGAGAACGTTAATGCATTTACGATCTCTCGGTGTTCTGAGAGCGAGTTCCTCGTCCATGAGATATTTCAGCACGAGTAAAGATTCAGAGGAACAAAGCAAGGATTCGCTTTCGTCTGTGGAACCCAATATCAAAAAGGAATCTACAATACAAGTAAATGAGAATGCAGAAGCAACTCAGGAATCTCAAGCGAAATTGAGTGGTTTTGCACGAAGTTACGAAAAATTCTCGCACATTAACGATAAACAACCAGAAACGCCACAGACGTTTGTTTCCTTAATTCGCAACTCCAAATTTGTCGATGTAAATCTCTTCTTGTCATAGTGCGAACAGTTGTTTGACTGCTCTTTATTAAACACATAATATTGTTTTCAGTTGGGTGATCCCGAAGGAAAAGTCGTAACTGGTCAGATATATCATGTGGTTGGTGATGATCTGTATATTGATTTTGGATGGAAGTTTTACTGCGTTTGTCAGAGACCTGTCAAGAATGGACAGTATGTATAAATCTATTTTTTTCCAAAATACATTGTATTTTCCAGATAACCAAGTCTACTAAGATCATGTATTACTTTTGTGTGATACAAACTATGTTGATAGAACTCGAATAGTAGCCGAGCATGATCTCAGATAGTGTCGGTAGAAAGTAACAGAAAATAAGCAATTCCAATATCAAGATATTTTATAAAAAATCCTGCAAAAATTAAGTAGAAATTCTTAGCATAAAAACTGTGCATTTTGAATATTGCATGCTGATACAACATGTCATCACAAACTATATCAAAACTAAGCATAACGTGATATTATACGTATTATACTGGCAAATGTCATCAGAAATCCAATTTATTTGCTTGCATGGCGTAATGGCGAAAACATGGCAAAAATCAAGCATGTGCTGCTGTCTCAAAAAGTAACAGCAAATACACAGCAGAAACATGGCACGAAAATGTTATATTGAATCATATTTCTTCCGTTTGCCACTATTCAACTTAATTATCGATATTTATCTCGTATTTAAATTTTTGTTATGACCAAATATAAAGGCTCGCATAACGCGACGAGTGAAAATAAAAATGTGTAATATTTTCCTATCAGTTTAATTTTTGATACAATTCCTATACAGAATTTAGAATATTAAACTGATTTTTTAAAAACTGAGTAATAATTTCTGCTGTTTCTGCCATTAGTAGCTAATATAATAGACTAATTGTAAGTCATCATCATGTACATTTTCTGTTGTGTTTCTGCCACTAGTATCTAATATGACAGGCCATATTCTATTTTTGTCATGTTTCTACCATCATATTATGACAAGATATGCTCCATTCTTGCTGCATGTCTGTTATTCTATGTTTGGCAAGTCATGATGACAAAAACCAAGCTTAAAGAAGATGCAGTGGACAGGAATCTGCTCTACAATTGTGACTGAATTACCTATATAACGCTGGCATACTGCTAACATTTGCTATCTGGATTGTTTAATAACATTTGCTATATATCAAATATATCTACTGATGAATACTTAAATATTGTTGTTTTGTTCTTTATATTAGATACTATGTGAGAGAATCTAAGGTTCGATTAAGGATAAAGGATTTGGAACTTTCTTCGAAGTTCTTAGGTGCTGAAACGGATGTAACTCTTTTGGAAGCTGATTGCACTTTAATCGGCTTAATATCATCACCTTTGCAAATAGCAGAACAAAAAATGGCAATCACAAGGCCGACAAGGACATAAGATATTTATATATAATTATTAACGTTAATTTTGTAATATCTATGTTAAATAAACTATAGATAATATTACATGATATGTATGTAAATAGCATATTTCCAGCAAAACAATTTTGTACAAAGTAATATATAGTGTATGTATATTACATCGTTTACAATCTAAGTTTCTAGAGTTGCTTGCAGAAAAAGAACGAAATTAGAAACAAAAAAGAAAGAATATATTTTAAAAGAGCATTTATCTTAAAAAAATTTAGTTTTATTCTTTTTACAATCAGTTATTACATCAAAACTGCATTTCAGAATTAATTATTATAAAGTAATGATTATAAAAATAATAATTTCTTGATAATTAATATTGCAAAATTTTAATCATTCCAACATTCAAAAACTTGTTTTCTGGAATTTGTTTTTGGGTAATTATGTCAAATGAGCGACATGTGGATCGAGCATGTATACTAAGTAGATATCACAGTCGGTATCATTAGCTCGAATTAAATCTCGCGTAGGAACATTAGATGCCCCTCATGGTGAACATTGTATTGTAGTTCACTTCATCAGGCCGAGGAGCAATCTCATACCAGAGAGAGATTTCTCTCTGCTGATACTGAGTACCTATGCAACATTCACGAAATGTTGGCATTCTAAGGGCGGTATTGATAATCAGATCTCATATTCAAGACCTTAAGTACAATCTTAAGAGGTCAGAGGGCCGTATTAGCATCTTAAGACATTAAGACAATCTTGAAATAAGAACGGATTATTGCCCGTATTCATATTTAGACCTTATATTTAAGACTTCTTAAATTATCTTCAGATGCTCTACGAATTATTTTATTAGCTACTGAGCATTTAAAGATAAATTTAAGGAAATAAATGTAAGATCTGACTATGAATACGCGGACATATGAATACCACCTTAAGAATGGATTTATATACGGAGATAACGTATAATTTCTGTAAAGAAAGTGCCCGCGGAAGCGTTAAGACTATTAAATGTATCAACGTTTTTATACCTTCTTTGAAAATTCAAGCTGAGATCATGTATTGAAGCGTCAGTTTAATCGCTTATACCATCTTTTCGAATCGTTACTCGTTAGATATTTTTCTTAGCAATGCCTTTTCATTTCTGCGAGAAAGCAGCCGGGTGCATCTACAATGCAAGACAATTAGATTAGTTCATAACTAATATGATTATATCACTATCTTCTCAGCTTGTATCGCGTTTCTGCTTAGTGCCAATTTTCCGGATCAACCTGTAGCGATCGCGGAACCGGTTTGCGATGAATGAAGTCAGCTTCATTGCAAGTTATTTGCTAATGATTATGGCGAAAGTATTGACGAAGATATCGAAAGTGCGGCACGAATAGTTAATTAATCCTCGTTGCGATTACAGCACGCATGTCAATACAATATGTATATAATTACTCTATGAAAAAGAGCGTTGGATCGGTGGACTAATTCCAACAAATGTTGTCGTACACGCTTGTCGCATACGCTTAAAAAGTCATTTTTAATTAGCGCTTGTCTTTGTAGGGTCAAACATATTTTTATTTAATTTCGCTACTATTTTTAAAAGATGAAATCATCAATTTGCCTCCCTTATAAAAATTTAATTCATTTTACTGGAAAGAAGAGTAACTAGTAATTAATTACTTATTTTGAGTATTAATTAGATATATATATTAATTAGATACATATTGTGTTGTTCAGTGCTTTTAATACTCAAAATAAGTAATTAATCTTTTTTTTTTTTCAGTAATGAAAGGGCAATTTTGCTGAAAAATTTAAAAATTTTGGCTAGATACATCTGAAAGTAATTTCTTTGGAACATTAAAATAATTTGAGCAATATTGCAAAATGTTTTGATATGTTAGCAACCTTGTTTTGATCCAGCAAAATCACTTTCTCTCTTTCAAATCTGTATCTAGCTAAAATCTTCAGGTTTTCAGCAAAATTACTCTTTTAGGCCTTGTTTTGCAATTCACGGTTAACTCTTAACCGAGATTCAACTTATTCATGATCTCTTTCCAATTCTAGGATTGAAAAGAAATGAGAAATAAGTTGAACCTCGGACTCTCTTAAGAGTTAACCGTGAGTTGTGAAACTGGGCTTTAGGTGTTAAATTAAATTGGATTTCTGTAAAGGATTCGAGTTGGACTCGAATGGCACTGTGTCTACACCCAAGTAGCACAGCAGCGCTTGCAAAGTGCTAAAAAAACGTTTATACGCACATTTTTAGCGCTTTGTTAACACTTTGTAAACACTGTGTGCTACTTGAACTACACGTTCGTGCATTGAAGCAAATTCGTTCATTCGCGCTCTTCGCTCGATCTAGATCTGGCTCCAGAGGTGCGCGCATTTATGTTCGGCCACATAACATACATTATGAGGCCCGCCACTGCGACGACGGCTGCACCCCTTGGGGTACACGCGCTTATATGAGCGCCTGATACTTTCCAAAGGTCAACAATGACAGTAAAGAGGAGCTGCACCGCCTCGTAAAAGCGACGTTGCGACGTGCCTTGGTTACATTATGCAATCGGCTTTTTGCTCAGCGGCCTGAACTATATTTTCTTTTTCCTCGGCTAACCTCGCGCTCGCGGGAAGGCTCCAGCTACCGACAGCCAAGGCGTCCATTCACTTGCTTCACCAACGCGAGAGAGGAGCAACCGATCGGTTGGAGTAACCGAAAGAGATCGCGCGGCAGATATTTCGCGACAGAGGGATATCTCTTTCTCTCGCTTAAAGAGATTACATCTGTCGAGCGAACAATAAATAATGCTTTCTTTCTCTTTCTCTGATCGATAGGCGATA